AATAGCCCATAGACAAAGACCGACATGTTGTCTCAACCCCAAAGGAAACACCCCCCACCCACCCCTCATACAGAACCTTTTCGCGGCTAGAAGCTTTAGATTTGGAATTACGCTTTAAGCGCATTACGGTGATATATGCCTCATCTGCATTGGCCTGGGAGATTTCTGTCTTTTCTAATTCAGACATGTGTTTGCACTGCTATTTGAACTGATGAAACATTGCGGAAGCGTTTTTTTGACTCAGCAGATTTTTATTATTTACGATCTGATGGTCAACTTGCTTCTCCAGCTAGATAAAGTGCAATTAAGTGGAGACCATTTCAGTTGCCTTGAAGTGAAGGCCTCAGCTGACTTGGAGCCTCTAAACGTCCATGTTTTGTTGTTCCTTTGAAGGCAACATATGGACAATCTGCCCTCAATTTTTTCTCCCCCAAACCTTTTCATAATGGCGATTTTACTTACGGCTTTGAAAAGTACGTGAACCTTTGAAAAGTCTGTTAAATAAGAATTCTTTTGAACTGATGATGCCCCATCCCACTTATTGAGGGCAAGTTTGAAGACGTTGAACCGTATGCCTTCGGTTGACTTGCTATGTGGGAACGCTTCAAGGGTTTTGAAGATTTTATTTTAGAAAGCGTAAAGCACAAGAAAGTGAGTCTCGCTGCCTTCGAGGAGGGCGTTGCCATATTGCAGTATAAAAGAGTCCTCATGACATGAGTGCTATCATTTTTGGCATTTCTTATCACTGTTTTTTTACCCTCATAGCCCACTATTCTTTCAATTTTTTGACAGATTTACGGCGATCAATTTCTTCACTTATTTGCGTTGCCACTAATGAATATTGAAGAGTAAACAGCATTACATTCTGTCGACGACAAAACTCCCATATGTATAGTCAAGCTCAAGCTTCTGCGTGATTAAAAATTGTGAAACTTCATAGCACTTTCATCTCAACATTGCCGAGATCAGAAGGATCAAAGACATCAAGGTAGCAGTAAATACGTTGCACTGAATATCATGTTTCTTATGAAATTGTTCTGCTGCTGTCGCTAAAATCTCATCGACAGCATTTTTCCCGGCGCAGATAATTTTATCGAGCCATGAAGGCATTCAGCTCCTTAACCTTAAGAAAGGGTAGTGTGGAAAAATGTTTGCATAAGTAGAATTCTGCTTCTACAGAAGTTTCACGCAAATTTTCTTTAGAGATATAGAAATGCTAGTTATATCGATGTTTCACGAGACCTTTCTAAAAGTTACCGTCGCTGCCGTGGTAAGCGTTTTATGAAAAAGGAGAGCTCGCTCTTTTGTATGAAGGTTTTCTGAGTTAGAAGTGTTGTAGACGTTTTGGTGGGGAAAGCGTTCAAGGTTTTGGAAGTATAGGCTGCTACATGACGAAGACGCAATGTCTTTGGACGCGAACGCGGCTTTATCTGCCGCAGAGCGCATCAGGCGCAACATTTACAAGAGCGAAAATACGCGCGCTTTGCGTTCACGCCCGCTCAACTATTACTGCTTCTGCGCATTCGTCATGCAGTAGCCTTTACTTGGAAGTACGATACTTCAATCAAGAAAACTACTGTAATACTTTGAAAAAGCGCAACATTTTTAGCAGATCTAAGTCAAGGTACGAAAAAGATTTCTACTGCAGTTACAAGGTAGAATAAATTAATAAACAATAGAATAAATTAGAGCTGTGCCATTTTTGGAAGCGAAAGGAAATTCGTGACTTTATCTGTTCAAGGCAAGGAGGGCGAAAGAATTTCAAAACTATAAAAATCTCTTGTTGATGATGTGGAAAAGTTATGAGATGTGTAAGCAAACTTGTCCGTCATATATGAGAGCCTTTGTAAATGAATTTTTGGTTCAGCTTTGTTACTGAGACTTACAACATTTGTACCGAACCGATTTAAGCCTTTACAATCTTTGGTGATTTCCACAATGTACATAATTGATATCAGTGATAGGAAAAATCTGAATATCTTATATATAATATGATATCCTCAGCGCATTGTATAATTTGGTATAATTTGGTGTACTTCAAAGTTGCATGATCGTGCAGGCTTTGTTGGTGGAAGAGCACTCACTCTATATAGATGGCTAGATGGCTTACCCGGCTCCACCCGGCCCTGTCATTATTTTATTCGTAACTAGCTGGCTTACCCGGCTCCGCCGTACCCGGACCAAACTTGGCACACATACACTTCGGGCCCCGGCGGGTGTCACAGTCCACTTTTCGTTATCGATCGATGTCGATTTTACCGATTTTTATCGATTTTTTTGCAGAGTTCACCTACAGGGCTAGGAGTTGGCACAGGGGGAAGTGAGCATGGGGATTCCGAATACAATATTAGTTTTCAGAATTATCGATTACTTTTATTGATTTTATCGATTTTTTGTAAATTTTGACATGCGAGGCTGGAATTTTGCACAGGGGGGTAATCGAGCATGCGATTACGAACACAATATTAGTTTTCAGGATCGTCCATTACTTTTATCGATTTTATCGATTTTTTTGTAAAGTTTGACCTGCGGGGCTGGGAGTTTGCACAGGGGGTAATCGAGCATGCAGATTACGAACACAATATTAGTTTTCAAGATCGTCCATTACTTTTATCGATTTTATCAATTTTTTGAAAATTTGAGCTAGGGGGCTGGAATTTGGCACAGGGGTGTAATCGAGCATGCTGATCACCCCCCTTGGGGATGATCAGCATGCTCGATTACCCCCCTGTGCGAACTCCCAGCCCCGTAGCTCAAACTTTGCAAAAAAATCGATAAAATCGATAAAAGTAATCGATAATCCTGAAAACCAATATTGTATTCGGAATCCCCATGCTCGATTACCCCCCTGTGCCAACTCCCAGCCCCGTAGCTCAAACTTTGCAAAAAAATCGATAAAATCGATAAAAGTAATCGATAGTCCTGAAAACCAATATTGTATTCGGAATCCCCATGCTCGATTACCCCCCTGTGCCAACTCCCAGCCCCGTAGGTGAACTCAGCAAAAAAATCGATAAAAATCGATAAAATCGATATCGATCGATGACCAAAAGTAGCCTATGACACCCGCCGGGGCCCGTAGTGTATGTGTGCCAAGTTTGGTCCGGATCGGTTCAGAAATGGAATTTTCTATTCGGAACATACGTACAGACATACATACATACATACATACATACAAACAGACATTCAGCTTTATATATAAGATCAGCAATGCTGGATTACCCCCCTGTACCAACTCCCAGCCCCGTAGCTCAAATTTTGCAAAAAATCGATAAATCGATATCGATCGATGACGAAAAGTAGCCTATGACACCCGCCGGGGCCCGAAGTGTATCTGTGCCAAGCCTGGTCCGGATCGGTTCAGAAATGGAATTTTCTTTTCGGAACATACGTACACACAGACATACATACATACATACATACATACATACAGACAGACAGACAGAAAAACAGACATTCAGCTTTATATATAAGAAGTGGAGGATAAGATAAACTGAAGATGATATGAGCTAGTAAGTGATTTCGTTTTGGCATGCAAATCTTCAGCTTTTCAATACTTCACTCAGACCATTCACATGAACTTCTCAGGCCTTGAAAAAACTAGAAATCGTCTCGGGGAATTCTCCGAAGCCTTTAGGAAGTTTTGAAATTAGTGTAAAGTGCAGGAACTTCCCGAGGACTCCATTCGCAAGACTTTCGGAAGGCTTCAGATAAACGTGATGACTAGATGTACAACATTGTAACAATACTTCCTGCTCTTTGGTTGCAAAGCTGTTTCCTCATTCCGTTTCACATATGACACCTGAGCTACGAAGTTGATGTAGAAGTATAACGAAGTACCGCGAGTTCTGCATTTTGCAAAACTTTTCAAAAACTTCCTCGGGAAATTCTTAGCTGTGTTGCTGCAGACTTTTCTTTGGGAAGTTTCCATTGCGCCACATTCCATCGCAGCAGTAGTTGAAGCCCACGGGATGTTTAGCATCCTATATTTTGTCTAAACAAGTAGCTGTTGCTTGCTCAGTTAAGGTTTTTTTTTGTAAAGGGTTGTCTCAAAATCTCTGCTACCACGTACTTCTTCAGAGTTTGCTATTAGTGAAAACAATTATCCTGATTTTACCAGCTGCATTACTGCCGCTACGCGGCAATATGACCAACATTAGCGTTTATCAATCAGTAAATTGGTACAAGAGGTCAACAAGGGAAGCAGTGGATAACTTACTTCTATTCAACAGACTTACCCTTCTGTTAGTCTTTAGTACTCCAAGCAAATTGCAAGAAAATCAATGAATCGATGAGATTCCAGTAGGAATAACTTATTGGCACAAGCCCCGCCACAAAGTTTGTGTGTAGAAATTCTCGTCCAAATTCACTGATTCTTTCTACCACTTTGAGGCGGTCATGATCAAGACTAATCCAAGTTTTAATAGGATAACATAGCACAATGTTGATCTGTAAAATTTTGAGTTTTTTAGTTTCACTTATAAGCTGTGGTAAGATTGCATGAACTACCACAATGAAAATTGTGTACTGCTGTCTATGGATTTTTTGAGCCATAAATGTGAAAATCTCTAGGCATTTGCGCGTGGTAGTCTATAGAAATCCAGATCGCTTTAAATCCTTGATTTGGCCATGCAAATAATTGGAAGTATCAAAATCGTATTACGTACCATTTGTGCATTCTATACCCAACTTTAGCTCGTTCTTTGGATCATGGCGTTGCGAACATGAAGGTTGAAGCCCAACTCTTTAAGAAAACAACGGTTACAAACAGGACGCAAGGCCTAATCGGTGCTTTCATTAACAGATGATAGAGATGGACGACTGCTTTGTTGAATCTCCAAGTCCCTAGTTACTGCTACAAATTGATTCTAAATACTGAGCATCCGGCTAACATCTTGAGACTGTCGGTTCATTCTCTTTGTCATCCCAATCTGCTCGCTTGAGTGCTTCTCGAATTTAACCTTGCAATATGTTCATGCAAATGGTGAAAGGGTTTCAGAATGTATTCGGTAAAGCTCCTTCTCGTTGTATTGATTCCATCATTAAACGCTTTTGTAGAGTTGAACAGAACGACGCAGCTGCTCAGGTTTGTGATTGGTAATTATTTGATAACAAATCAAAAAGATTTTGCAGAGGCCCGGAAAAATATCATGGTCTTTCTCATCTCTCTGTATCTCACGCAGGTTAGCGATATACTTTGTTTAGCTTGAGAAACAGATTTCGGGCTCGATTGTTGGGTTTTGGAAACAGGAGAAAGTGCTGCAGCTGGCTCCGGTTTTCCAAAGCCTTAGAATTGCTCGACCTTCTTTACGAGAATACGACTGTAGGTGGAGTTTAATTGCACAAGCACCGAAAAACTCAAGCTAGATCTCTAAATCACATAACTTGTCTTTTCTTTGCTGTCTTTACCAGGGTATAGCAAAGGGAGTGGCACTAGATACGACCCCCTCAACTTGTGTTTCAATGAGGCCTTCTGAATATCTATCAGCATAAATGGGAAGTTTTGTAAAGAACAATAAGAGTTACATCCGTAATTGGCATGTAAATAACATCCGTAAACTAAGTTTCAGCAAGTTTTGCAGAAATACTGAGCCACCCAGCTGAAACCGTCATTTTCAAAAACAAATAACCTTTCCCCAAAGATTGAGTTGGCTTATAATTTCTGCAGAATTTTTTCTGCACTGCACTGGACAAGCACTACTTCTTGTTACCCCAAATTAGGGTCTCACTAGAAAAACGCCAAACTTTATCGATTTTGTTCTGTTTTATATCTTTGCACAAATACGCCCCCTAGTAAAACGCCTAGGCATTACTCACTTTGAGATGGAAAAAACGATCAACATAGAAATATTAGATAGGTCCAAAAGTTCTTGTCGTTTTTGAGACTTATCCGAAAACCACTCAGAATAGTGATAGACAAACGATCTAAGAAATATTCGATGCAGAATTTCTTCCCTCTTTTAGCATTGAAGTCCTTGTTGTTAGTCCTTTGGTGATGGTTGAATAATCGTCGTTTTCAAATTTTGATTTCTACTTACCCGATTTGGCTATTTTCGTAAATTTGATCTCATTCTATTTGATGTTTGCTTCATTGCCTAGCGCCTTCCCTGAAATAACATATTGTATAGCTGACTTTGATTCAGATAAATAGCATCTCTTAATTACACTGAGATTACGTAGAAATTCGAGGGTCTCGATTCACTTGAGGCAAATTTCACTTCTAAAAGAAAACCAAACAAGCTGAAAAATTCTCACATTAGGCCAGTCAGTGTAGCTGATATCAAATACGAAACTTGAACTTTAGCGTAACGCTTCTTTTTTTGTGCCAAATATATGTATGTGGCCACCTTTTTGAAGTTGGTCAAAATTTGACTGCACCATTTGAAAAGCTTTGAAAACTCGTATGCCGTCGTCTAGTGGATTCTGCATGCTGAAGTACACATATTCTTTCAGATTTTTGAAGAACTTTTTCCAAATAATTTATCTCACAGTAGCGCCATATGCTGCAAGTATCTACCGTAACCCTACAGTAATGGAGATCGGTAATTCGCTCGCAAGCTCTACCGAATGTACCTTAAAATATTGAAGATCAAACAGCAGGCACAATTTTTGGGAAGTCTATCCAACAGTGCTGCACTTAAGCAGAATTTGGGTCTGTTTGCGCATAAGATTGCTTGTTAGCCACTGAGATTCTTTTAGCATGTCCTGCACGCTGCGAGAGTGGATGGACATTATTTGACAAAACCGAGGCCTGCTATAAGGTATGTATGATTGCTTTGGAACGAAACGATCGGTGGGGTAGAAAGTATACGGTTGAAATGCATTTGGAAATTTGTCATTGTGCTTATGTTATAGGACATCCGCGCTGCGCACGGAGGGCAACGCGGTTGCGTACATTGTAGGCAGTTTACGACTGAGAGAGGGCGCAAAGAAAACAGGCGGCGAGAGTGCACGAGAAAAGAGTAGTGGCGCGCAATACATACCTTGCGCACTCTCCGCACCCTGCGCGGACGGCCTATAACACGTTTCGGACCGCGAAATCGCGCGCGGCGAAAAAGAGGGTACTTTCAGCCGTTAGCCAACAAAGGGGTCTTGATTCGTAGGCTGTGTACTACATCTATAATCAGCATGTCAAATAAGATCCATACCCAAAGTTCTGAGTGAATTCGAAGTGTTTGAATTTTCTCGACTGAGAAGGACTTCTGTGCTTTTTAGAAAGAAAGGGACAAGAACTCAATTTCTAATTGTACCCAAAAGTATCTATGTTGTACACCATACACATCATTATCGAAACTATGGTTTTTCTCTTTGAATTCAAAGCAAGGGAAAGTTGCGACGTCGCGTCGTTCGCGTTGCCGCACTTCGTTGTAACTGTTGTTCGATTTGTGCTCATATCTTCTAAAAAAATCGGCGGCACAGCTTTATAGAGTCATTTGAAAAGAAGGAGCTTAGGCCTTTGACCTGATAACCTTGGACAAAAAGAAAAGCTCCTGTAAACTATAGAAAGGTCTCTCAAAGGCGCGTGCTGCACCATGTGCAGCACCGGTCCGAAACGTGTTAAGACATCACGTTGCAGAAAGCTCTTAGCTTCGATGCCACTGCCATTGACGAAAGCATATAATTCAAAAATGATTAGCTTAGCGTAATGTTAAGTGATGTCAAACTACAAACGCAAGTGACTTATTATGGTAGCGAAGAGTTTTGGCTTTATATATGCTTCACTACAAACCTACCCTCTATTGCGACCGTTTTAAATGCAATCTCCTTGGCACACTTTGCTGCTATACATGCTTCAAAGAAGCGAACCCTTTTATATTTTTCAGGTATCGGCATTGTCATTTTGTCTCATTCTTACTATTAAAAGCACCGTCCACCCAAAATAAGGTCGACAAATTTTTTGTTGGCTAATAGTAGCGGGGTCCTTCACTGTATACTTGCATAACTCGCGCTGCCGATTGCTCCCAAAGTGAGAAAATTGCTAAGAAAATTGCTTTGGATGACGGATTTCCCATGTTGGCTGCTCCCCTTTAGGGTGGGCGTGACGTTCGTGCCGCCAATCGGTGCGCATCTAACCAATCACAGTTTCGGAGAACGGATTGGCTGTGACTCTGCGGAACGGGGTTTATCGAAATTTTTGCGGTGCCTTCAAATACCATCTTGTCTCATACATGAAATCAATGTAGAAAATATATTTCAATGCAAGCTAATTTTCAAATTTTGAAACCTCAAAACAAATTTGGGAAAGTGTGCGCGCGTGAGCTCTTTCCGTTAACACTTTTTTCTGTACGTTTTTCGGATTCTTCTCACACCAACTCATCAAACGTATGCTCTATTAGCCAGGAGCAGCTAAGCACTAAAATGGAAAATTAGAATAACTTCAAAGAGGGAAGGCCTTTCAGTGGGTGATTCGAATCAGAAGAAGTTGCTGAGAAAAGCTCTTTGCTCAGTCATCTTTGCACTAGAAGCTGTTTCTTACAAGGGGAGAATACTTGGTCGAGGTTTTTATAAAAGATGTATACTGTCTCATGCAGCATGAAACGCTGATTCCGAATCTGCTTTTGTTATCGGCGAAACGCTTCTGGGAGGAGGGTTATGGAAACTTTTTGATGCAAAATCTACAAAGCGCAGCTGCAATATGCTCATACAGAACTGTAATATATGAGCTCAAATGGGACCATGATTACTGCAAAAGCGCTTTATGCTTCAGTACCTTCAGTCTAATACATTGCTAGTCATTACTCCATTCGAGCGCCTGAAAAACTCCAACACTTGTTTTACCTTGGCCAAAACATTGATTTCTGCCTTAAAAAATCTAGTCCCCCTCCCGTGTTTTGTGCTGTATTGTAGCGCCAGGGTCATGTTAATTAGCATTCGTAATCCTGCAATTCTACCTTGACATGATAGAACTGAAAGGTTTCTCCTCTGAGCACAAACTACACCTTTTTCTGGTCGAAACGCGTCTTCTTTCTTGAGACCGGGATCTTTGAAGCTTACAGGGTCCAGTGAAGCAAAGAAGAGCTCCAAGCACATTAGAACTTGAAAACATTGAATCTGAAGGAAACATATGTAAGAAGCGTGAAGGATTGGAGATAAAAGAGTCACCGCCATTACGTTTCAGAAAAAGATTCTGTTACGCTCTTCGTTCAAATAAGTCTTATAAGACTTCCTCCACCTATTTCCAAAAGGGTGTGCACATACCGAATCTAAATTTTTCCTGTGTCCCCAATCTTTTGGTCAACAGCAATGGTACTTTGATGTTCTAGTATTTTTTATGCCGCACAGGTTAATATGGTGGAACTTTTTTGACCTAACGTTTCAAACACCGTCTTCGTCGGAGGTGTGGAAAGGATTGTAGGTTACGTATCTGATGTTACTGTGCCAACATTAGATACGTAATCTACAATCCTTTTCAGACCTCCGACGAGCACTTGTTTGAGACGTTAACACCAATAAACACGTCAATAAAGTTCCACCATACCAACCTTGCTTCATAAGAAATACTAGAACATCAACTTATGTCAAAGATGCCCAGGTTCCGGGACGATAATACGTGGAAGCAATGTAATGTCACCAAAAACAAATGTTTGCAACCTTTTTCACAAACGTGATGATTCCATGATCTCTAACTTTTCTATAGCTTAAACTGATCTATTGGTCCCTACGCGGCACACATTATTTTCGACATCATAGCATTCGCCGAAGACTTAGTTGCTTGCCGTATTGCGGTTATTTATGATTTACGCTAAAAAAGATGATATGTAACATTTTACTGGTGTTGTAATCCGTCATACAACCAGGATGTCGCGAAATAAAAGCTGACTAAATACGTAAGCAACGTGGACGGTGCTTACGTATTTAGCCCCAGCTCTAATGCTCAAAGATGCTTGCTTACCAGCCAAACCAAAAGAACCGACACCTTTCTTTGGTTAGTACTAGCCTAATGTAGTTCTTTTTTTGAGTTCTCCCCACCGACTTTAGCATAGTTTTTGCGAATCGCTGTGCCATGTGTAGAGTGTACTTACGTAATCACTTTCGAATTTCAATGATAAGATAACTTTACAGACCTTCTTCGGCGAGACTTTTTACACTGCGGAGTACATTTGCAGCACTTATGGAGGACATTTGACTTCAATTCACAGCTCTGAAGAAAATAATTTTGTAGCCGGTAAAAATACTATGGTGTGTAATAAGATCTGTCCTATTTTTCTGCTTGTAAATTCGTTGCTCATCCGCCAACTTAGCAGAAAAAGCTGCAAAAGATTTTTGATTTGTAAAGAAAAATCCGCGGAGGCAAAAAATCCATTTCGATTCTATTCGCCTTCCATCAGTAATTTTTATTTAACAAATCGACAACGAACAGAGCGAAAAACTTGATTCTATGCTTTTATCGTCACTCTTTGTGCTTGATCTCCCTCTCTTCTCCGACTTTTCAATGCCATTTTTTTAAAGTCGTCGGAGCAGGACTTTGCTGCGGCAATATTCGTCATCTACTTAAGCTGTGTGATTCCCCAATTACATTTTGAGTTATTAACTTATGAATTTGAAGCTTTCATAGCCAAAGACCATCACTTCCGCCTTTTTGGGATTATCCGTCTACCTTCGACTCTCAGGATCGCTTTCGTATTCTCAAGGTCAGCATTGAAGAGAGGTTATAAAGAAGTAAAGAAAACTTTTTTTACAAAATTTTTTTTTGAAATTTTTCAACATTTGCGATTCGCTTCTATTTCCCTTAAGCTCAGGAAATTTTTCGAGCTCTTCTGTAAGTACTAACATAAACTGGTGCGACGTTGAGTAGTTGTCTGAAAAGAGTTTTTTCCTCTTTGGTCTTCCAAATCTGATGCTGGAAAACTTTACTCTCCTTGTAGGAACTGAGGTAAAGATCCTTGGTAGAGGAAGCTTGGAGTATTCAAATGCATTTATACATGTTTCGAAAAAAAAACAAAGTAGGTTAAAAAAACAAACAAAATGCATACTAAATATTGTGAGTTAGAAAGAAAATTGGGACGGAACTTTCTACACGCCTAATGTTTCTAAATTGACATTCTGTCCTACATATGAACACTTGATTGGTTTTTTATAGAGATGTCAAAGATGAATAAACAAGTCTCTGGATATTCGAATTCGGAATATACTTGGATAGGACTACGAGATGAATTCAATAACAAAAATTGGACCTGAATTGACGGCACAAAAGTTGATTTCAAGTTTTGGTGCCCGATATGTCCAGCTCGTGGAGATGGAGTGTGATGGTATAACTTTCGCATATATAAGTTTCAATGACGAATGGCTATAGCCTCGTGACTAAGTCTCTACATATTCGGCGGATTTCACCTGGATAGGACTACGAGATGAATTCAATAACAAAAATTGGACCTGGACTGACGGCACAAAAGTTGATTTCAAGTTTTGGTGCCCGACGTGTCCAGCTCGTGGATTTGGAAACTGTGCGGAGGTATGAATTCCGCATATACAAGGTTCAATGAACGGTTGAAGCTTTTCTCTTCGTAATTGAAGTGCTCTCTCTTATGATCGTAAATACGAATCGATGGTTCTAAACATGTTCAACTTCAATATTTTAGAACTTCTCTGACTTTTGAAAAGCATCAGCAACAGGTGGAAAAAGTAAGAGAGTGAAATAACGAATTTTTGGTCGCCTCTAATTGGTTTGTGGCATTTTTGATAGAATTTGCAGTAAAAATTTCAAATAAAGAATAAAAATACAATTTTTGTCAGTTTTTTTGGAAAACCTTCACTTTTGCAAAGTCACATATTCCATCACATTTGAAAATCTTATTGTCAGTAACTGAAAGTATCAAATTCCTTAGAGCTTTGGGCTATTTCTATGGCAAGTGAGCATTTAATACCTCGAAAAATGTTTAGAGGTTTGAATACCGTCGATACCGTGTTCAAAACAAAAATTCATGATGATTCCATCCGTAACGCCTCCTTGAATTCACATACACACGTTTTGGAGGAGGAAAGAAAAGTTACAACAAACGAATTCGATCTGCTCGCCTTTTTGTTCCACAGGGTCTATCTTGACTAAATCCGGATTCGATAACGTCAACAACAGTTCAAGTAAAAGCCAATTTGGGCTAAAAAACGCATTGCACATTTTTACTTTACCACTGTTGATGATTTATGTATTATCAACCTCAACAATTCTATAATCTTAATAGCTTACGGGTATTCCCCATAGGCTATATTCCCCAATCGCTTATATTTAAGTGCCGAATCACTCACCAATGAGTGGCACCTATCTTCCAGGGGCCGCGCCAAGCCGCGGCATCCTCTTTCTTGCATATATTTCATGGACATTCCGATTGTGCACGGGTCAGCTCCGCCTTATTACCTATATAAGGAACCCCCGATTGTATTATAGGTTGCTCCCCCGGTTCAACACCGGGTTCGTCTGTGGATAAATTATTATCGACACCACTATCGCCTACGACACTTGGTTCCCACCAAATTGGTGCATCGACCAGTGAAGCTACCTCGTATTCTATCTGCAACCGGAGGAATCGAGGCCACAAGACCCGCGTGGCAAGAAGACAATCAACCGACTATCTGAAAATTCCTGTGTATCATTTTCGTAAGAGATCCAGGGAAATGTAAGAAAAATCGGAAGGCTACCACTGACTATCTGAAAATCTTTGTGTATCCTTTTCGTAAGAGATCCAAAGAGGTGCAAGAGAAATCAGTAGGAATACCACTGACCATCTGAAAATTTCTGTGTATCCTTTTCGTAAGTGATCCAGAAAGGTGTAAGAGAAATCAGTAGGTAGCACATAATCACACTAATACGTGAAACTTTCTGTGAATCCTTTCCGTAAGCGATCCAGAGGGTGGAACAAATTTTGTGAGTGCAGCACATAACCACATAAGACCGTGAAACTTTCTGTGAATCCTTTTCGTAAGTGATCCAGAGAGCGGAACAAATTTTTGTGGGTGCAATTTTCCAACCAATCCTCAATAGATCTCTCGCGAATCCTATCCAAGGACCGGAGATCAATACATTGAGATTTGAAAGGAAGGCAACTTGAGTCACAGGAGCTCATTTTGCCAAAAAAGTCAAAGTTCGACCAAGAACTCTTGACTTACAGGATTGAAACCCAATCCTTATCTGGTCAAGGTCCAAGCCACCTTACCAGTCAGCACAGCGTTCAAGCCAACCAGGCACGCTTGCTCATCAGAGATCAGCACACAGCTGTCTCTATTCAACAACACCACTAACGAGCCTGCAAGTTTGCGAAAACCTCCCTACTTGTACATTGAAGAAACAGCAAAGCAACCAGCTTGCTGTAGGACAAAAAGAGAAGAAGTCGGAATTGAATCTCGAAGATGGCCGCACTTCAACTTTTCAAAATCAGGATCAACAATGCCTGCAAACTCGTGAAATCGCACGAGTCACAAATTAATGACAGTGATGTTCCCTTCACATTTCCTGCGACAAAAGAACAATGTGAGCTGTACATTAAAGAGAAAACAGGAGTAATAACTAATCTCCTAAACTCTTTGCATAACGCAATGAAGCTCCAAGAAACGCAAACCAGTGCCGCTATGAAGTACATCAACACAAGGAATGATGAGAAAGAAAGGGAAAAGCTAATGACAGAACTCAGCAAACACTTAGAGCTTGAATCAATTGATCTAGAAGTGGTTGTAGTGGAATGGCAAACTAGGATACAGTTCAGACAGCATGAACTAAGGGAGCAAATGACACTTTTGCATACGCCTGCTCCTAGTATTCCGAGTCAGCCAGACAGCGACATAGGAAGAGGCTCAACAACGGAACGAAGTGAACGCCAGATCAGGATCCGGAAACCGCTCCTAGAGGTTCCTACATTCTCTGGCAACTTCAGAGAGTTCAACAGTTTTTGGACAGTGTTCGATTCACTTATTCACTGCGACGAAGACTTATCGGATGGCGACAAATTCCTTTTTCTAAAGCAAGCGCTCAAAGGAAAAGCAGCTGCTGCCTTGAACTGCATCCCTGTAGTCGGAGAGAAGTATCAGACAGCCGTCAACATTCTAAAGAAGCACTTCGATCGCTCTGCCAACATGGCAGACATACTCATCAACGAAATCGAACGACTTCAAGGAGCAAATTACAGTCCCGAAAGTTGCCGAGAAACGTTTGAAGCAATCAATTCACGGATCATCCACTTGGAACAAACCGGAATGAAGATGAGCGCAGACAGAATTTGGCGCAGAATGATTCTGTCCAAATTTCCTGCAGACATCTGCGCAACCGTCATACAGAAGGAAGCCGCAAGTGGAGATCAATTCGATGTTTCTAGGATCCTAGACACGATCGACGACATAATCTCTCTGCGGGAAACGACTGCGTTAACGATGGAGACACTCATTTCGAGTACCCTTCAAACAAGCAACCATCAGGACACAAAACACGACGGCCTGAAATGGGAAGAGAAGAAAGGATTTCTCGAGCAGTCTCAATTTCCTACTAACTCCAATCATCTGCAAGTCTCCAAGATACTGCAAAGAACCAACTTCGATTATCGCAAAGCGAGTGAAGTACACGTTGCACAAACTCAGCGAAATGGACAAGAAGTCTACAGCCCAAGCAAACTGCCAGTCGTGCGCCAAAGCGTACTTCAAACGGCTTCAGCCATGATATTCAACGAGGCAATTTGGGATTATCAACCCATAACAATACTGATTGACTCTGGCGCCCAGCGAAGCTTCATCAAATCAAAATTTGGTGATGAGCTTAAGCTGCCAGTCATCCAAACGACGTCATTCACCACATCAGGAATGGGAGAATTGAAAGAGACATTCAGTTCCAATGAAGTGCAAATTACTTTGAAAAGCTTTCACAACGCAAAGAAGCTTAAGAAGATATCAGTGCACACGAAAGAGAAGTTGACTGCCAACTTATATACAGCACATCTCACAGATGCAGATGTTCAGTTCATTTCCAATAAGAACTTGAAGATAGCTCAAGATACGCTCACTCATAAAAGCGTCTTGCCTGAACTCATTATTGGACAAGATCTTCTGAACCTCGTCACTGTTCACACCGAAACAGTGCTCAAGCTTCCCTCCGGACTCATATTGACCCCGACCATCTTTGGATATGTCATATCTGGTACAAGCCGTACCAACGTCACGGAGATCGTCGGCACTTTTGGTTGTACATCAACGATGCAGGAAGCCTCCAAATCCGCCCCTCACCCTCAACGACACGTCAAATGGCTGACGACGAAGAAAACGGGCACCAATTTCAACGAAAGCAGTACACATGCAATCAACAGGAGAATTCTCCAAGCGCAAGCTGAAGTAACATCTCAAAAGACAACGAAGTTGTTACCGAAAAAGAGGAAACGCCGGACAGCTGCTTTCAACCGCGAAGCTAAGGCAGACAGACAACGTTGGCTGGCCAAAGTTCGCTGCACATTGGGCTCTAGTTCCAGCTCCAACACGAGGAGTGCGAATGGAACTCTTGCCAGAACACTTCAACTGACGACACAAGCCAAGACAAAAATGAAGGACATGCCGAAGATCACACATCACGAACATCTGATCACGGAAACCACGGCTTTCACGAAGACAATCACCGATAACGATTCTGTCAACTCAAAATCGACGACGGCAGAACCGACGAGGAAGAAGAGACGACGACGAAAGGCGAAGCTACACCACGGAACAGCAACCACCAACCACTACAATTAATCACCGTAAATTCTCTTCTGTCTGTAGCTCCCATAAGTATGTCTAAGTCTATACAAATCTATGCATTTGTTGTATCTTGTGCTTACCAGATTAAGTTCTTGCTTGCTCGCCCGGAGTGTTGATGATCTATGAATCATCAACCTCGACAACCAATCTAATAGCTCACACTTATGAACACAGCTACATCTCAATTTCTAAGTACAAATGCTTTTAGGAGGTTTTGATTGTATTTATTTATTTACATCTCAACAGATTTCGCCTCCTTCTTGCTCGCCCGGAGTGTTGATGATTTATGTATCATCAACCTCAACAATTCTATAATCTTAATAGCTTACGGGTATTCCCCATAGGCTATATTCCCCAATCGCTTATATTTAAGTGCCGAATCACTCACCAATGAGTGGCACCTATCTTCCAGGGGCCGCGCCAAGCCGCGGCATCCTCTTTCTTGCATATATTTCATGGACATTCCGATTGTGCACGGGTCAGCTCCGCCTTATTACCTATATAAGGAGCCCCCGATTGTATTATAGGTTGCTCCCCCGGTCCACAACCGGGTTCGTCTGTGGATAAATTATTATCGACACCACTATCGCCTACGACACTTGGTTCCCACCAAAACCACCGCTGACGATGCTCTCTTGAATGTCTAAAGAAAAAATTTCAAAATTTTGCGAGATTGGAGATGGAAAAAAATGCTTTCGAAACAATGATTTTTGAAGCAACCAAGTCAGAAAACTGACTGCTGAGAAAAGAAAGCGCATTGAGCAGTTTTGAAGTTGGCTTATCTTTATTACACTCGGAAACAGCTTGACATCAAATGCGCCTAATATCAGATTTCAAAGTTATCATTTTTTACAAATGTGAAACTCAATCGAAAGAAAGCGTACTTCATAACAAAAAACTTGTGAATGTGAGACTTATTTGATGCAGTTTTCCAACCCTCTTTATGGCTTACGTTTTCAAGCTAAGTTTTGAAGATTTTTTTAGCATCAGCTGGAGTTTTTGAATGGCTACAGCTACTCCTCCTAGATCTAGTCCTTTTACAAAAGCTTGTCCAAGCTTTCGACAAAAAAAGCACAAGCAATGGAGTTAATTTTAGCTAGTTTGATATTTACAAATTTTTTTGTCAAATAAACATTCTTTTTTTGGTACCTTCTCATAGTCAGTCATTTTACATGAAATTATGATAGACATAAAATTGCCCTCTGTCTGTCTTTTTGTCTCCCACACAGCTCGTAATTGCATCCGATACTCGCATAAAAACAATTGATTTCTCTTTTGTATCAGGTCGTTCCGAAAAAGTAGTAGTGCCTCACATCGATTTTCCAGTCCTTGCTGTAGCCATAAAACTTTAGTTATGTTCTTCAAAAGTTCCATGGTGTCAGGTTTTAGCGTATGATTCATTACCTACTACTTTCAGCCTATTTGGTTCCTTTAGCTACTTTCAGCACATAAGCCCATTACCTACTATTCTCTGAAGAATGCGTAGTCTTCTTTTATGAGATCAAGTTTCATTCAGTTTAGAGGAAATTCGACATGAGTTTCGTTTCAGCTGCTCTCTGATCCCATCCTCGAGGACTCTCACGGGGTTTCGTACCATACATGGGCGGATTGCCCTTGCAACGCAAGACGGAGAGCGTACGTTTGCAAGAAAATGGCTCTACAATAATGTTGTACTCACGTGTGTTTGGTTGTTGTGAATATAATTGGGTTTGGTAATCTTTCTACTTTGACACAGCAATAAAAATTTTCGTTGATAAGGTCCTCTTCAATACTTCACAACAAAACCATGGACATCGTCTAGTGCTACCCCATAATCAGATTCCAGCTACCGTTTTGGATTTAGAGACTGATTATTTGCGAGAAAGTCCAATAAATCTTGCTGTTTCAGTGAATTGGCGGAACTGATAATAGAACTAACGGTTCAAAAATAGCTTTCAGGACGCTGTTCTATAATAACGGAGCGCTAAGCAGTATACAGGAACTGCCATAATAATGAATCCATTTCCTTGATTATTATAATTGTACCTTGTGGTTCTTAGCGCAGCTTGAAGCAAGCAATCAACACAAGTAGACTTTCTGAATTGCTAGAATTGATTTGGGTGGACAGTGCCTTCAAGATGTAATTTTTGATAAAAATTTTTTGAAGAATATCAATACAGGAAGCGATGAACGAGGGCTTGTTTACAATTTATAAACAGGATACAACAATTTTGGCTCAAGCATTCACACCAAGATTTCGCTGCGCTCAAGAAAACAGCATTTTTTGTTGTAGACCAGGTCGTTGGTGCATCATTATAGCTATAGGCATAGCCCGGCATGCTTATTTCGTAGCATTTTTGGGAACGAAGTCCCCTATAATTTGCGAAAATTTACGAAGTCCTTTTTGACGTTAAAATCAGTAGGGAAATCCTTGTTCAGTCAACATAACAAAACATAACGATGAAAAGGCGAAAAAAACGAGTTTTGAGGTACCTAGTATAACAAAAAAGCAAAAGAAACATTCTGAGTTGATTCAATTCTTGAGTATGGTACCATTTTAGTGTTCAAAACGTTGAAAACCTCTTAGGCCAACCGAATCTGTGACCTCAACAATCTGGCGATGCATGTTTCGTCACACCTCTTAGGCCAACCGAATCTGTGACCTCAACAATCTGGCGACCTCAACAATTTTTCGCCACATAGTTCAAAGGACATCGTATGTGATTGGAGCGCGATACCCATCAATGCTTTAGTTTACAGTATTTTTGGCTATAAAAAAGAGGAGAAGCAGTAGTTCGAGTTACCTTTAGTTACCAGTAGTTACCTTTCAGCTCTCATATTTCCTCACACTAATTCACTGCAATGGTACTGCTAGAAAGAGAAAGATCTGCTTTAGAACAAAAATTATCTGAAGGTATTTCACTGAGATGGAAAAAAGATATATTTTTCTAAGTGGCGCAAACATATTTTGAAAAATTGATATTTTGACATTTTCGAGAGTTTTAAAAAACACAAATTCATGCATAGCAATCCAGAAGAGAAATTACAAGTACCAGTACCTTAAATTGCTATAACTGTTTAGCTATCATTCATAATGCAGCAAACATTGTGCAAACTTTCACGGAACTGTAAAATTCTGTACTCCTTGTCGGTGAAAGGTTGTAACTTGATGATTATGATTGGATAGGAAAACATTGCTATCTCTCTGTAATCTTTGTACTAGGCATCACATCTCTCATCTCCACGAAGTAATTTGCAAGGAAAACAACGCGAATAATCGAGAGGATATTTCGATATTCTGCACTCTATACACTTTTGTGAAAGGGTTCATTAATAGACCTAATTTTCTAAATGCCAGTTAGTGCCAATGTCAGTTGCCGGCAACCTGCCGGCAAGTTGGCGGAACCCGCGAGATGGCAGCTGCCGGCAGGTCAGAGAGCACGGGAAATAGCGTGCTCTTCTGAGAGAGGGACCTGCCGGCATCTCGACGTGCCCCTACCACGTCGAGGTGGTGGCACCTTTGCCGCCGGGGTCTGTGAAATTGCGTTATGGACAGTTGCGGACAACGCCGTGCATCTGCCTCGTTATCATTGTTAGACTCGTATTTTCCTCTTGTTAGCTTTCGCCGTTTCCGTTGCATTGGCAATGTGTTTATCGCCTTTATCACTGATTTGTTTATTGCAGGTGGCCCTTTGGGGCTCGGGCCACCCAAGGAGCCCCTCCCCATCTTCCGCTGGGGCCTTTTCCGGACTAGTGGTTCACTTGGAGATTACAGTCCAATGAACGACTGACAATGTATCTGATTGATATACATAGTCTGTGGCAAACTACCGATTGTTGCAGGTAAATACATTGTTGTTGTGTTGCTCCGTCTTTTTTTCTCAACATTAAGTCTCCTATTGTTCACTTATTCCCCTTGCTTTTCATCATTCGTATATTACCCGTAAAAGCTCTAAAACGTCGAGATCAATATCAGGCAGGTTTCGGACCGCGCCGGAACTCGCCTGTACTCGTCGCAGTGCTCCTGAACGTTCCCGACGGAACGTTACGTTCAGGCTGGATAGACGCATGTAGCCGTAATGCAGGCCAACTGTATGTAACTTATATGTCATTGTACAACTGTTCGTCACCTTACGTGTGCTTTAAAAATACAAATTTTAAGCATTTTCACTGTTTCTTATGCTCATTCGGCGGTTTTGTGCGGATTTCGGCGCGATAGAGCGCGGTCCGAAGCCTGCCTTAGTTTGTTCTTTCGAGTGGAACGGTCGATCAAGGTGTGAAAACAGCTTCCATCTATAGTCCGTGCTATATACTCTTCCTGTCTTTTTCTGCAATCGTTTTTTTCTGTACTACAATACCTTTGTCCATATTTTGCTTATTTTCTCTGTCTTCGTTCGCACGCGGAGAAAGAGCAAAAAAGTAGATTATGACTAACGCCATTCTACACCGCTGCTTTTGTCATTGCAAACTTTTAGCTGCTGTAGAAATGCCTTTTTCAGACCGAGCAAAGTCGGTGTTCGGTGCTTTGCACTGAGATGGACGGGCTGAGCCCTTTATCGACCGATTTCGCGTTTGAATCGTGATGTTGTCCATCTAGTCCGGCTATCCCATGATCGAACACCGCTAAGGTAGGAATTTCTCACAATTTTTCTGTTCCTTTTTTTGGAAATCGTCTACTACATTATTTTTGTCCTGCTGATTTTTTGTTCAAGATTTCCTCGTTCATCCTGCTTTGTTTACGTTTTGATAGGCCACTGGCACCACCAAGCGGAAAAAACGAAACATTCCCTAATAACCTAATATAGCAGGAACTGTGTAAACACCCACAATAGTCGAAATTAGCAAACCGGCCCTCTAAAGAGCTGGCACGAAGCTGGCACGGAGCTGGCACTGTCCTCAAACGCATAGACGCGACGGCGAAGCTGGCACGGAGTTGGCACTGTCCTCAAACGCAATAGACGCGACGGCGAAGCTGGCACGAAGCTGGCACGAAGCTGGCACTGTCCCCAAACGCAAGAGACAGAACGCCGGAGCTGGCACGAAGCTGGCATGGAGCTGGCACTGTCCCCAAACGCAAGAGACAGAACGTCGGAGCTGGCACTGTCCCAAAACGCAAGAGACAGAACGCCGGAGCTGGCACGAAGCTGGCATGCAGCTGACACGAATTTATCCCTGTTTTGTCTACTGCAATTTGTACACAAGTACTTTCAAATTGTTACAATTTATTGCATTTTAATTACAAAATAATTAGCAACAAGAACAAGATCAACAACAACAACAACAACAACAACAACAACAACAACAACAACAACAACATCCTAAATCAGTAAACGGGTTAGTTCCTCCCTAATATTCGCCACCTCATTTCTGGGATGCGGTATGTGCGCAATCCTCCTACCAAGATGTCGCATGGGACGACATCTCATCGAGAGCATAATGTTGTGAAGGACAGCACAAGCCATTATGATTTTTGCCGCCTTCTCTGGATGCAAGCGCATTTTCGTTTGCAATATCCTGAAGCAGCCCTTCCACTTCCCGAACAGACACTCGACAACAACCCTCATCTTTTTGTGGGTCCTAAATCGGCGTTGTGCCCGGTCTTGAGGGTTCCTGTACGGGGTGAGGATCTCATTACTATTTGAGAAGCCTGAATCCCCGATCAAGCAATAACCCTCCGGAACAGCTCCTTCTGCGAATGCATCATGTAGACGGCTATATCTGTACACGGTAGCATCATGAACAGAACCTGGATAGTTACTGTTTATGTAGATGAATCTACCGCGGGCGTCGACAACGGCTAGGACGTTGATGGCGCAGAATCCTTTACGGCAATAGTATTCCCACCCTGAGTTGGCCGGCCTCAGGATGGGTACAAGTGTGCCGTCGATGGCTCCCACGATGTTTGGCAGCCTTCCCAATCGTGCGAAGCCATCGGCCTTCCTCCGGCAATAGCGCTCGTCATTGAGATGGCACGGAATGAACTTCTGCACTATTGCCGGGTTGTTCAGCGCCTTCACCACATCCTCCACGGCGTTCGACACCGTCTTTTGGCAGACACCAATCGTGTCTGCCAGGACGGCTTGATGGGCATTCGTGGCGAAGTAGCGTAGGGCGATGATCAAACAAACAAGTGCAAACAGTTGATCACCTGCAAACAGTTGATCAGCTAGTTTTCTTAAGAACGTTAACTTTCCAACACCACTAATTCTTCTAGACCGCTTTGCACCCTCCCTATCATTGCTTTTATGATTTGGCCCTGCACCATGTTCTCTATAATGTGAACGCAAAATCATGCCCCTAAACGGGATTCGACCCCTCGATGTCTGGCTTGAACTGGCGACTGCTTACCCACTAGGCCATTTCCGACTCTGAGAATGAATATGTGGACAACGCAATCGAAAGATTGAAGTGCAACAGGGACTGCGCACATGCATTGCATATCTCTTTATGCTGCTTCAATAACAGCACTTATCGATGCGCAAACAACTAACCTTGTTCTCAACGTCCACGCTCCAATTGTCGATGCTCTCCTGGCCATTAAAGGCTTGAGCAGGTCGCACAGTCGTCGCAAATGAACTTCTCTCATCCGGAACTTCCTCAGAATCAGCCCTTGATTCGACGTGAAGAGGCGAAGAGGATGGAGTCGTCCGTAGCGGATGTTTCGGTGCCTCCTGCTCGGTGCGGCATACATAAGAATAGGAAGCATGTCTGAATAATAAACTTATTATTACTCTGAGGCCATGTTAATGCAGTTTGCGATAGTGTTTTTAAGAGACGAATCTCAAGAAGAGAAGAATTTATACAAGAATCTAATGAAACAAGCAATGAAAACAAGAGAAAAAGAGCGAGGCCGTCTTGGACAGGATACTTCGAAGTCCAAAGTATACCACTAGTGGCATCGATCATGTTCAAGTACATGATTCGGCAATTCAAACATATCCCAGCGGTGTTTTCTATGTGCAAAGCATGTGCGTGTAGTCTACCGGTTAGTGCGCCGGAGTTCCAAGTTGGTGCGTACAAGTTCGAACGCGCGTGGTGCGGATGTTTTGCGGCGGCCCGGCAAATCCAAGCATTCCTTTATCGTTCGCTTCGCCACCACACGCAGTGTGCGTGTGGTCGATCGGTTAGTGCGCCGGCGTTCGAGGTCAATGCATGCAAGTTCGAGGGCGCGCGATTTCTATGCTTTGCGGCGCTCTGCTTGTTGGCAGTTTAGGAGCTGCCGGCGGAGTTGGCATCTTTCCGCGATGTGTGCCAACTTGCCGGCATCTATGATGCCACCAGGTAGGGGGGGATTACTACCGGCCCCTGTATAACGAGATACCACTTTCCCATACGACATCTGGTGGTCATTGTCGTTTCCCCTAGACTTGCCGGTAGAGGAGTCACAGGAGAAAAAATCTTCGTAACTCTGTTCCGAATGATGCGTGGCAGTTGGGAACACTATATTTCGCATCAGCATTCGATGCTGATTCCAAATATATGTGTCTTATCCCGAAAGCGCGAGCTAAGTTAGCTAGCCTCCAATATCAGTTTTTGATGTCTGATAAGGAGAGAAAAGTTTCATTTGTAGGTCACTGGTTCAACAGAGTATGACGTATAGCTTCTGTATAGTAGATCTGTTCGAAAGTTCGTTCCGTTTTTTTTGAGCTGTCACGAGAACACGCACAATCATCGTAAGCAAGTGGTAATGGCACTTTTTAACGCAGTTTTTCTACATTTTTCAAACGCCCGTGTTTCTTTGCAGGTTATCCTTGTGGTCACTGAAATAATCGCCAAAATTTCGAGCCCGTCGTTTTTACCATGTCCTAATTCGGCAATTTTTTAAAATCTTTGTATTAAACTTCTGGAAAGATTTGATAGCAGTTCGATAGCGTAGACAAATGCAATGCAATATAATTTTTTGGCATCTCCAACTTGCTCTTCAGTACTTTTTAAGATCAATTTTTCAAAGCTCCTCACTTTTGCAAATCGCGAAATACACAAACTCTCTAGATGCTAACAAATTTGCGGAATTTGAAACTTGCCTACTTATAGACTTCGATCAGAAGATTTTGATTGTACTAACATTTCACAGAAATTGAACATTCAAATGATTTTTTTTTGTTTGAGAAAACTACATTTATTCTTTAGGTGTCCTGTCCCATTACTTTCCGATCACCCTAGTAGTATGAGCGCTGTTTCTGCACTCAACTACATATTTCATCTTGATCAACTTTTCCTACGTAATTATATTTTTGATCTGTTTGTTTAAACTTAAGTGTGTCACTCGTGTCTGACATCTGACAATAACGACCAATGTACTCATCTTTGATTTATTGGCCGTTAAACAAAGCGTTTAACTTGTAAGTAAAAAGAGTACGTGCGTTTTGTTGATTGAGACTGGATTTGTACAGTACCGCTCAATATCAGTCAAAAATCAACCGAACTCCACCGCATTGCGGCGATGTCCGCGTCGTACCTTCATATCTTTGTTTGAAGTCTACGAATTGCGAATCCAGGAGCACCGTTCGATTATTCGGCGAGATGTATCTTTTGGTGTATGAAAGTGCCCTTTGGGCATAGTACAAGGTCAAATTCCACGAGTCGTTCTAGATATTTGCTTACGGTAGGGTGCTCATTGGGCTTACTGAGTAACCGAGCGTAGACAAAACTACCTATCCTAATGGGCTTACCCCGACATCAACCCATATGCCTTCCCTCAACACGACGTGGATTACGTGGATTGGTGATGCGCCACCTCGCTGCAGACTTACGCCACGTTGCATGGGCATCTTTGGCTTGATGTGACAAC